ACTGACGCGTTGCGCAAGACCGAGCCCCAAATGGTCGACTGGGATGAGGAGAAAAAAAAGGCTTTCCGCGTTTTGAAAGCGGCCTTGTCGAGCCAACTTTTGCTTAGTTCACCGGACTACTCGAGGCCTTTCATAGTCCAATGCGACGCTAGTGATAGAGGCATGGGGGCGGTTCTTAGTCAAAGGGATGAGGGGGATCAAGAGCATCCCGTCCTATATGTTAGCCGGAAACTCACCCTTCGCCAGCAGGTTTACAGCGCTAGCGAAAAGGAATGTGCGTGCTTGGTTTGGGCAGTCCAGAAACTGGCTTGTTATATTGCCGGAAGCAAGTTCATTGTGGAAGTGGACCACTGTCCTCTCACCTGGCTACAGACCATGTCCTCTAAGAACGGCCGCCTGCTGCGTTGGAGCCTCGTTTTGCAACAATATACGTTTGAAATACGCTACAAAAAGGGTGTACTCCATGGCAACGCTGATGGCTTAAGTCGATGCCCCTGACGCGAGAGGATGTCTCGAGAACTCTGGCATTTTTTTTTCCTGACCTAGACAAGAGCTAGTGATTGTTTTTTTTACTCTTTTAGGTGTACTTGTTTGAAAACGTTGAAGACACGGCTATCCAGGGTTTCGGGTTCGGTGTGCTTCCAGTGTTGTTGTTTTGTGTCACCTTAAAGTGTGAGTAACATTTTGAATAAATTGTGTATTTCCTTTAATATCAGTTAAAGGGGAAAATTGCCTGGTGGAGTTTGGCGGAATTGTCTAACGCTCACCGGCTGAGTAGTTGTGTTTTCATGTGCGTATGTGACGTCTGTTGAGCCCTCAATGAAGCAGGTGTTGCCCTCTACTTCATCAAAGACGGTCGTCATCAAACCGACTGCCGGCGCTGATCTCTCCGGACAGTGGCTGCAAACCTCAGCCCATCGAGATCTTCACCCCCCCCCCCCCCTCCGCGCGAGAGACTGTTACGACCGGCCCTGGGGAGCCAAGCAGGGAGAGTTTGGGGGAGAACCGGTTCTTGACCTGACGGTGTCGTCCACCCCCACCTCCCCATTCGGGTTCCTCCTCGCCGGGAGAGCTACGGGGTCTGCTGTGCGTTCGTGACCATATTTGGTAACATTTTGGGGCGCCGGGACCATATATGGACCTCGTGTTGGGTGGTGCCACTCCTTGTGTTGTGAGAGGTGTTTTCCCCTCCCTCGTGGCCGAGGTGCCGGCGACACCGTATTGGCTGACGATGCGGACAAGGCGCCCAGTGTCAACGGCGCGGCGCTATAAAATGCCGAAGACGTTTTGTATCGCACGCACTCTTCTCTCTTTGGGTCAGTTGACCACTTCTCCACATGTAAATAAATCTCTGTTGTTCGTTCGGGCGCTTCTTCTCGCTGAATTGTTGGACGATGGATCCTGCGACGGGGCCAGCTACCGAAGACGAGACCGGCAGGACCCGGAGTCCCAACACCACCAAGCCGGCGAGAACCTTCGTTTCTCGTTCCTTGAGCCGTTCGTACTTGTTGCATAGTTCGTCGACTCCCCTCTGGTGCTCGCTTGCGTCGACTAGCTTGGCGTGTGCGTTCGTCACGAAGTAAGCGTCGTTGGTCGATACCTTGCTCAGGGAGACGCACGGATTGAGGACCTCCAGTGTACGGTGCAAGTGGGTGATATATTCGTCCATCGTGTTGAAGTGGCAGGCAGGACTGGCTGGACTCAATGGCTGAGAGATATTGGAGGGCTGTTGTTGTTGTTGTTGTTGTTGTTGTTTTTCACCTCTGCAAATGGGTCGTACCCGAAGGAGGGGATTGGCCTATTATAAGGGGAATTTACCCGATACTTTCTGCACTGCGTCATTCCTAAAACAACTTTTGTTATTTAATTATGATTTGATGTGCAGAATGAACTGTACCAGGGATAGTTGAGCGCGAGTCTGAGCTTCTTCCTCTTCTACTTTGCATACAATGAGTGCAAATGAAGCACCATCGTCACACTACCACCGGCAACCTCCGTTGACACCAGAACTATTGACATTAGAAAACTCAGTCAGAAGTTTTGATGGAGATGAGGCTCAATGGAGATAGAAAAATTCACACGGTAAATACATGAGATTTTGACAGTAGAAGCAAGTGCTGTAGTTTATTGCTGTAGTTTATAAAGTGCTGTAGTTTATAAAGGCTGTAGTTTATTGAAAAATGAAATACTTTGGCTTATGTCACACAAACGTGCACCTATAAGAATGTTGGCAGTAATGGTGAGAGGCAAGGTCGATTCATGCCAGTCGCGCATGTTGGAACGTATAGACGTCGGAAACCCATTTCTACAAACATCCTTGATGGCCTTACGTTTGAAGCGCCACTAGATGAGTTAGAGAAAAATAATTAAAACTCTAACCCGAACAGAAAATTTTCACGAATGTTTTTAATTAAGAACAAACCAGCAATTTATTTAAAGTTATCTGGCTTATCTGATATCTAGCTAAATTACTGGGTGAGCGAGTAAGTGAACTGCTTTATTAAAACCAACGAATTGAAATCTGGGCCTACAGGCCTCGCCAGGGGTGGTGGAGAGGCCCGGCAGCCGCCTCTTGTGCTCGGTGGATGACCCAACTTGTCGACCTGATCTGATCAGCGCAGTGTGCCACCGCATCCTAAGCTGTTCTGAGGAGACTGCATTTGCATCTTTTATTTTCACGCATGTTGCCTTCTTAGTGAGAATCGTCAGAAAGGGGTATTTAGGCCTTCTGCCAGTGAGCGACAGGTATGCGATCATGTTCACCTTCTGGACTGTTAATTTCGGCCTCTACTGATTGGCTGGAGCTCGGTGAGCAGCATGCCTCGTTTGCGGTGCTTCTTCTGCAAAGTCATTTAGACCATGGTGAAAACGCGATAATAATGAAATGCGTGTCATGCAAGAAGATGACTACATGCCACCTATGACGCGCTCGCGGTCGTTTCGCTAGCTTCATTTGTAACAAGTTTGTTGTTGCGTGACGTGAATGGATGACAAAGATATATGACTGGTGCAAGCATGGTAAGGATGACATGGGTGTCATGTAAAAACATTGCAATATACCACGCTCATGATGAACTAACGGCCGCTTCGCTAGCTTCACGTATACAAAATTCGGTATTACATGACGTGAATAGACGACGAAAGTATACGACTGGTCCGAAGATATCATGACATGTGTGTCATGTAACAATATGACAACATACCTTGTTCAAGATGCGCTTGCGGCCGTTTCGCTAGCTTCACATATACCAAATTTAGTAACACGTGACGTGAGTAGACGAGGAAGGTAAATGACATCTCCGAAAATGATTATTATACCATGCGTGTCATGTAAAACATTATAGCGTGCTCGCAGCCATTTTGCTAGCTCCACATACACCAAATTTGGTATCACGTAATGTGAATAAACGACAAAGGTAAATCACACGTCGAAACGTGATAATCATGACACAGAAATGATGTACGGCATAACTTACGGCCACCTCGTAACGTTGTGCTGATTTTAAAGTGACACGTATTAACCTTCCTCATTCATTCGAATATCATCACTTCCTACTGTACGTGGAATCTGCCAATTTTTTATTGAGCGAAATCTTGCGAAGTGACGCAAAAGATATGTACAAATTTTGTACGCACTGGCATAAGTTTCACAGTCGAATATTTTTCATATAACCACCTGCTTACAGTTTGGTAACAATGCCAACAGCAACTTAGTTATTACCAGCACAAGAATCGGTAAGCTGAAATGTAGCGCTCGTGCTTGTGAGGAGGGTAGCCCTTAGAGTGCTAGGTATATAGATTAACTTCAGTGGATGGCGCCTAAGTATACGATTGACGTTATCCCCACGTGACGGCTGTATCATAGGAGTACATATGTAATGTTAATAAACTCGGATAGCCCTCACTGCAACTACAATTCATTTTTCACGAACATTATGGTCTACTTGAAAGGGAATTCCGACACCTGGCGTGGCTCTGTGGTAGAATATTTGATTTCCACGTAGAATGCTGGGGTTCGATTTTTTGCTGGGACCCTGACATTTATTCATGCATTCGTCGGGTGAACAAAGCCGATGTCGGGTTTTTTTTTCTTAGAATTACCGATGTCTATTCTCGTCATTCCTGGGTAGATATAAAGTGTCGATCAGCCGTGGCACGTACCCACATACCTGTGGCACATACCCGTTCGCCGTACACGGGAATGTGCCACACGTGTCTGGCGGAAACGGTTTGGCGACATACGCAATGAAATTGTCCTATTATTCATGTCATGACCAACGAGTTATATGCGTCAAACCATCTTACCCTTTTAAAGTAATTTTGTGTACCTGAAGCTAAGGGTGTGATCACGCCAGCACCCAGACGTAGCCGACTAGATAGATAGATAGATAGATAGATAGATAGATAGATAGATAGATAGATAGATAGATAGATAGATAGATAGATAGATAGATAGATAGATAGATAGATAGATATTGAATTTTTTAACCATGGAGAAAAATGTTGCGACCACTATTGACATGGAGAACAAAAAAAATGACTGACCGCGTCAAATTTACCTGTTCCCTACATTCTAGTATCTCAAATACCTCGTAAGTCTTTGCGGGAAAACCCCTGACTTTAATCAACGTGCCAACGTAAGAGGATAAGGTGAGCTTTTAGAGGAAACAAAGCTACGACAGCACAGTGACACGCACACACACTTACTCTGCCAGTTTGTGCGCTGCATCTGAGACGACGTCATGTGTTGGGCTGGCGTCACGAATCGGAGCGTTCGCTTTCCAAAGCAGCATGTCTGACGCTCGCTAATAGCTCATTTCTTCCACCATGATACAAGCACAGTAAAGCAATCCATCATTAAGGAACTGATTCGTAAAAATTCTTTCCATGTAACACTTCCTTGATGGCCCCACAAAAGTGTGCCAAAACCTGCAATGTGCATGGCCGCATCAGGGAGTGTTTGGGAAACCACTCATGTTTCTAAATAATAATTTCACTGATAAAGGACTAATGTTGGTTTTCGTTTATTGTGTACTCCTGTAATTTTACAAGCACATTGTGACTTTGGTTTACAACGTATGATCGCAGAGCTGCTACTAAGAAAACAGGTTGGCTTGTACTTTGAGCACTTGTTGAATCAATCTCAGATGAAGAGCATGTGTTCGAAGGTGCTCAGCTTGTAGAGCATATTAAAGCTGAATCAGTTTTGTGGTTCGTGCATTGTAACACCATACGATCAAAGAAAATAGCAACTAATAACGCTTTGACTGGGACTGCATTTGCACCTTTAGGATAACCCTAAAGGATTCGTAACAAAATGCCTAACATGCTGAACTAGGAAGTGTTAGATCTTGGGTCAGACCACACCTCTTGCATTAATTCAAAGCTACTTCAGTTTTATGCGAAGTCCTAGCTGTTTCTATTTAGGTGCTTTCGTCTTCAGTGCCTAGGAACTCTTTGGCGGCTGTGTTCAGGATTGGAAGGGGATCTCCACAATTTCCATCGAAGTCGTCCGTATCCAGGGTGACGATGGCGATTCCTCCCAGCTGCTTCTCACGAGCGAATGCGGCCTGCGAAACGAATGGTCTTGCTGTGAGAACTCCCAATAAAAAAGCTTCTGTTGAGCGAAGAAGAAAAATCTAACGAAAACTTGAGGGCAGCACAATGTAATAATTCTGACCGCATCTATCGAAGTTCTGATACAGAGCATTTCCATACGAGATTCTTATCATACTTTGCTGAGTTTTCGCTTTGATGGAGCGAAGACCACAAGCCGTATGCGGACCTAGAAATGTGTTTAATTTTGTTAATTTGACCATTGCATGCGTGATGTATATATAGTTGTGAGGCCTAAATGGCTTGTACACCATGCGTCCTTGGCATAGGTCGCCAAAGAAATTGGAGTTCACTCAAACTCACCCAAGAAATATGTTTTGCTCTGAGGACTCATTCGGACTCCAACTCACCAAAATTTTCCTCACCTGGACCGACTCGGATTTCCACTCACTGCTGTTTTTCTCGACAGGACTCACTAAGACTCGCGACTTCACCTGAGTCTGAGTGAGCCGGAGTAAGTCGACTCATAAGTCCGTTAGCATGACTTTATTAATCGTTGTGCGAATGCTGTTTAACGCCAATACCTCACGTAATTAGTGCTCTACAGTACGCCGTTATATTTCGTACCTTCAAATACGAGTCGTCAGTGGTTTCAATCCAGTAAGGACATTTTTTACGAAATACGCGATTCGCACAAGATATCCTCATCAAGAACTCCCCCCGAGTTTGCGGGAAAGGTCATGGCAACCCCCCCCCCCCCCCCACGTTTCCCCCTAACTCACGCCTCGGCTAAACAGAAGATATCTTTGAATAGGCTTGAGTGCACGCTTAAGCCAATATAACGCATATAGCAATGCTTAAGATGATTAGATAGGACCATACAGGTCGGCAATAAAGGCGGAGCTCTTTCAGACTCACTCACAAAACATAATTTTTGTTTAGGGCTCACTCGATCGTGCTCAGCCTCGCAAATATTACATCAACCGGGCTCACTTGGGTTCGCCAAATATTACTCACCCGAAATCGCTAGGACACAGACTGAAGGCCCGATCTGAGTTCGAGTGAGCGTGAGTGAGTCAACTTGCGAGTGAGTTTGCTGACCTCTTGGCACACTTGCTTCCGCTAGGGGCTTTAAACTTGATCAGTTATGTGCCTGTGGCGTAGCGACTAAAGCATCGAGTTTTAGGGGTGAAGCTCCTTATGGCGTGGGTCTGTCGCTCCTCCTCCTCCTCCTCCTCCTCCGTATGTATGTATGTATGTATGTATGTATGTATGTATGTATGTATGTATGTATGTATGTATGTATGTATGTATGTATGTATGTATGTATGTATGTATGTATGTATGTATGTATGTATGTATGTATGTATGTATGTATGTATGTATGTATGTATGTATGTATGTATGTATGTATGTATGTATGTATGTATGTATGTATGTGTGTGTGTGTGTGTATGTATGTATGTATGTATGTATGTATGTATCAATTTGTATGTAAACTTTCGACAGAAGTCTGTCTGGTTGTGTATTAAACTGGGAGATGATTTAGACTCGATCCAACCAAAAGTTTTCAAGAAACCAGACGTTTCGAAACTGACTTGGTTCCTTCCTCAGGGGTGACTGCGGAGACTACGTAGCAGCGGCGTCTTCAAAGCACTCGCGGGGCAGATAATGACCCCTCTCTCTCTCGTTTTGCCACAGACCACAGTCCATGTGTATACACTGGGGAAAGGGTTTCGCGAGAGTGGTTGATGTTATGGGCTGTCTTCTGTATGTGCCACGACTCGAGCAATCACCTTCTTCTCTTTCAAGGATGGCTGTCGCTTCAAAATTTATCCGGTGATCCAACGTCTCAGCATGTTCGGCGACTGCGCTGCGCTCTTTGTGGAACTTCCGCACATCGTTGGCGTGTTGCTTCAGTCGTTCCGGTAGGTTTTTCGTTTCGCCGATATACAAAGAGGGGCACTCGGCACACGGAATTTTCGTAAACGACACCGGGGTTCCTGTTCATTGTTGGCCGGTCTATCGGGCGGGGGAGGAGGCGGCCCAGCGTACACGAAGGCACGTGCACGATGCGAACCCCTTCCTTCTTGAATAATAATAATAATAATAATAATAATAATAATAATAATAATAATAATAATAATAATAATAATAATAATAATAATAATAATAATAATAATAATAATAATAATAATAATAATAATAATGCTTTTACGTCCCAAAACCACGATATGATTATCAGAGACGCCGTAGTGGAGGGCTCCGGAAATTTGAACCATCTTGTATTCTTGAACCTCCACAGACATCACACAGTACACGGGCTTGTATATCATTTAGCCTGCATCGAAATGCAAGCGCCGCGGCTAGCATCGAACCCACGACCTCCGTGTCAGCAGCAGAGCACCCTACCCACCGTTCGGCTGAAGCGCACGGAGAGAGGGGGGGGGGGTGCGCCCAAGACAAACAATTAAGTAAGCTCGTGCAGCGCGGCAGAAATGCGGGTAAATCGTGATTTTTGTGTTTACTGTCTCCGCTGTTCAAGCGCGTATAAGGGAAGGGGGCCGGCGAAAATTCTGAGGGAGCGCCAGCCTTCCCTCCATACCCTCCGCTAGCACCGGCCCTTGTTTGAAGCGTATACGGGCATACATGTAACGCTATTGCCAGCTCGGGAGACTCAGTGCTGATGATGCTTGAACACCAGATAGATTGAACTTAGCGTGGAGGATCGTCCCACTTCGCTTCGTTTTCGCCGTCAAAAAACACACTTCTCGCTCGGGCTGCGCATGTGGTGCGAAGATAGCAGGACTGCACTACTATGGTAATAATGCTCCTCGACTGTGCTTACGTGTAATTGCTGTTGCAATAAAATGATAACTTGGCAGGTATAGCTGGAAATAATGAAATAGTGGGGGCAATGTATAGGCCCGTAGTTTCTCACGTCTATTTTGTACTGCTCTGTTCTAACTGTATTGCTGTGGAGAAATTGAGGTCCATATTGCCTCGGCTACTCCGTATGAGCAAGTGCCACAGCGAAAAAAATTAAACGATAATACTGGACGGTACCTAAATATGAACAGGCAGCAAAAAGAAAAAAAAACATAACAGCACACTGAAATCAGTTGAAATACCATGCCAATGTACAGTTTGCTTGCAGCAGTTCACACTGTCATAAAATGTTGACACGCACACCTTTCTGTTTGCACTCTCAGTATATGCATTAACACACCATGTCATATATGTGAGCTCCTGGCTGTCTACTACAGGTGCTTATCCAGCCCGGTCTAAAAAGTCTGTCAGGAAGATGTTCGCCTTTTTCTGAAGATGCATCTCAGGCCATTGTCCGAATAATTTCTTTATTGTAAGGGGCCGTCTGTCCAAGCTTGCTAGTTTTTTCCTTGATTTTTCTCGTTCACTCGCGTACTTTACGCACTCTAAACGAGTATGGCGAGCATTTTCTTCTGCATGACCACAATGACATTCCGAAAAGTTGTATTGGTGTATTTTGTGCAGGAAGCTGTTTGTATACGCTACTTCCAGTCGAAGTCTGTGGATTATGTCTCTAAGTGTCGTGGGAGATCTGTCGCTATTGAAAATTTTCTGAGCGGATCGACTTCATAAAGTACTAATTCCTTTGATTTGGGGCTATCAAACCACTTCTCCATAAAACAATGGTAAGCTCCTTGCGTTATAAAATGTCGAATATCTGCCCCAGACGTAGGGATAGCGCAGTCCCGTTCTTCGTTCAATGCTTTCTTGGCGAGGCTGTCTGCTTCTTCATTTCCCCTTTTTTTCCCCAATGTGACTGGGTATTCATTGGAATACGATGTTGTGACTCTGCGCTGAGGCATATTCCACAGTTTATGCAATACATTGTGCTATTTCGCCGTTTTTGTAAAGTGATCTCACATTTTTCATTAGCATAAGGGCAGGTTTGCTTTGTCTGCATATTGCCGACTTTGGTGTCTCGGAATTCTCACAACTTAACTGCTTCCAAATAGCCACCAATCCTGCTGTGGTTGATGAAGATTTGTGCGATAATTTGTACATTCTCTTTTCTGAAATTTCAGGTATACAGACCGCTCAGGCGGTCTCACAAAGTGAAAGAAATAGGATTGTGTCGAGCGCCTGGCTGAAACAGATTGCTTGTAAAGGGGCCCTGCACAAAAAAGTGCTTGCCATCGGTATAGTCGAGGCTCCTGAAAAGAACAACCAAACATTATAGCCATAGGGAGGGGTTGTCACCTAAAAGGGGAAAGTCTGCCCCACACATTAGGCTGATAGGGAAGGTGGAACTACGACAAACTTTTGCACCCCGCCGCCCTGCTGAAGGGGAATCCTGCACAAGCTTATCACTATATTTAGCGAAGCATGTGGCTAGAAGTCAGCTAGAATTCATCGCATCTGCTCTCGGCAAATGATGCTACAAACCCAAATAACCCCGCCACAAACCCAAAGAACCCTGCAATTGGTTTATTTGAACATCTTGAGTTGCATAGCTACAGCGGCTGCCACTGGATGCCACTACGTGCCCGCCGCGCTCTCGCGATCGCACTCAAAGTAGGTCGTGCGTGCGTATATAGAGTCAAAGAAAAGAATGTGCTCTATAGGTCATGAAGCGCACTGATGAACGGACACATTTTCTTGCCCTCTTATCAAGCTACTTGATTGTTAAAGATAGAGTACCAGTTCACTCCGCACGAGGAAAAAAACGAACAGCAAACAAGCCAAACTTGATGATGTTTTCATTTCCATTCTCAATAAAAACACTGCATATTCGAACAAATGTGCCTCCAGAAGTTAAGACGGCAAGCACATAATAAATTACTTGCAGAATCAAGTAAAGAAAATAAGGGGAGGGTTCAGAACGTCTTCTGATGTGAAACTGCATTGAAAGCTTCTTCAGTTTTCAGAGCTACGAGGCAAATGATCTCAAAGGGCAAATAATCTGCCAGGGCGCGTAACCTTGGCGTGTTCAGGATTCTCCATCAGGGGGTGGGGGGATGAAGTGAAACCCCCCTCCTTTGGTTGAATCCGCAATAGGATAAGCTTCAGAACTGATTCAAAAGAGAAAACCAAACGACGACGTGCTTCTCACCACGGCCAGCCCTTGGTCCCCGGCTTTCCGTGGATGATGATTGGAAGTAAACCGTTCTTTCAAAATACATCAGGTGTCATTATCATTCAACCACCATTATCGTCAAAAATGAGAATGGCTATAAGGCTGCACTTTGAACGAAAGCGGGACAGGTCTTAATCTGTAATGTATAGGGAAGAATTGGTGCCTTCCTTAGATGATAGGGGGAGGGGGGCCCGCTCCTCTGTTTCTAACACCCCTCCCCCCCTTCTCCTAATGCAAACGCCTATGGCGGAAAACATGCTACGTTCCCCAACTTAGCCCTAGCAAAATAAGGTTACCGTATGTAATAGCTTAAAAAACAAGATAATTAACAATCCATCCCATGGGCACGTACGCAGTGAGTAAAGCTGCTTCATAAAATACTCCGCACCCAAACAGTGAAGCAGAACTTTTCTTGCTGTTGCCACCGAAGCAAATCTGAAATTTCAATCGCACCGCAGAGGCTCGAGTTCGATTCCAAGTTGCGATGGTGGGTAAAGCTTTACTTTATTAATCCTCATAGTGATCTGAGGATTTGCAGTATCTTTGTTGTGAGTTGAAAATTGGACGACGGCGAGCGATAAGCTCGAGAAGGACGCCACCGATTTTGCTTAAATTTATTAGATGCTTCATCTTGAAAAAGATTGTTCAATTGCCGCAGTGATTTGCCGAAGTATGACTAAAACGTAAACTGAATATAAAATCAATTTTTACTCAGGTCAGCGTATAACCTTTTTCAAGTACCAAAAAAATGCTCGAAATGAAATGGGAGTGGCACCGCCACCTTTTGGTTCACACGCCAACGAGCCGTGACGTCATAGATATTGTCAGCCTATATGATATGCCTGCATATTTAAGATTTTATCAGCAAATATTCATTGTGTTACAAGGGTCCTGACCATAAAGCATGCTTCAAGAAATTTCATTGATATATTTTGGTCAAATCTCGAAGTATGAAATATTTCATGAGTGAAATATTTCTTCACGCGCATAGAGCAGAACGTACATGCCCCGTTGTAAACAAAAAATCCCCACGCAGCATGAACGTTGCCACGAAAAATTGCATCTGTAGATTTGGTATGACCTCTACAACGCAACAAAATGCATTTGGGCCTTAACTGCATATTAAAACTTTCGCATAATTAATTTTAGTCATTTGGCTTACAGAGCAATATAGCAAGTACATTAACACGCACCAAATCGCGGCAAACTTTAAAAGTTATTGGTTTCATTCAGTCGCAGTTAAGCACTTTTTTTTTTAAAGATTCTTTAGTTTTGTTATGTGATACGTCACTTGAATCTTCTCACACAGATCTTGCTTTGACCACGCCACTGAAACAAAAGTCATGCCGAAGATAATAAGGCAATGAAATGCTTTGTCGAGAGAACACAACAAGGGTTCACCTTGTCTTTGGCACTTTGAGGATCCTCGTAGCTGATCCATGTCGGCAGCAGCACTGCATAGGACGCCTTCAGGCCTTTGTCGTAGTTGACGACCCATTTATCCTTCTTCATTGACTCGCAGATCTGCAAAAAATTATCGGCGCCACATACGGGAGGGCGTTAAAATTCCAGGATTCCCGGCCACGTGGTGGTGTACCGCGGAAATTAAAACAGGTATTCGAGCGCTTTATGGTAGGATCGAAATTTGATAGTGCATAAATAGGGCGTCAGTAAAACTTGCGTTGGGTCTAGTTGGTACATAGCACAAAAAAGAAGTTAACTTCTTTGGCGCAAACAATACGGAAAAAAGGAAAAAAGAAGGCGAGGAAAGAAACAGATTGATACTTCCGTTTCTTTGCATGCCATCGAATATGAATTTTTGCGTACACATCTTGGTTAAGATATCGTGTTCTACAAGGGTAATATGACAACACGCGTGTACATTCAGGTGTGTGGTGTGATGTGTTAAGGTTTAGGAATTTTTCGTTTTTACGTATACGATACGAAGCTGTGCGTGCGCATGCAATGTATGTGGTTTCGGCATATATATGCGTTGCTGTGTGAAGAATAAAGTAGTTGTTAGTTTGGCGTCAATCTGTTTCTTTCCTCGCCTTCTTTTTTCCTTTTTTCCGTATTGTTTGCGCCAAAGAAGTTAACTTCTTTTTTGTGATAAATAGGGCGTACCGATTGATCTCTGTGAACAAGCATACCGTGGAAAGCAGACGTTGTTGCGAACAGGTCAGCCAGACCTTGTGCAGCAAGGAGAGCTCACAGGTGTCGCGCGAAGTTGCCACTTCTCAAGCAGCCCCACCGCGGTGGTCTAGTGACTAAAATACTCGGCTGTTGACCCGCAGGTCGGGGGATCGAATCCCGGCTGCGGTGGCTGCATTTTAGATGGAGGCGACAATGCTCTAGGCCTGTGTGCTCAGATTTGGGTGCACGTTAAAGAACCCCAGATGGTCGAAATTTTTAGAGCCCTCCACTATGGCGTCACTCTTAATCATATCGTGGTTTTGGGACGTGAAACTCCACGTATCAATAAAGCGAAATAGCTAGCGTTACATTTGAACACACGATGTGTATGCTCTTGCTCGTACACATTAAATCTGTTCGTAGTTTGTTTCCTTTGATAGCAATTATCCACTGGTGCAGAAATTTGGTGTTTTTCGTTGCGTATGAAAATCTGTGAAATCTGAAAACGCCGCACCGGCCCAATTCCCATCTCGTGTTGGGATCACACACAGAGATGAGCAGCATTTTCCCTTTGCGCTGATTGTTATCGCACCGAGTGCTCTGGCCTATAATTTGCTAAAATTTAGTCACAACACTGACGCGCTCCGGCAGTTCATCTAGAGAGAGCGATCGTGTTTTATGACGCAAGCGTTGCGTAGCTTCTTTCCCCCGAGATATGCCTCCCTGGGAAGATTCGAACGCGCTTGTCGGGGAATGGAGAATGCGCTTAAAGCGTGCAACAAATTTCCCTTACTGCAACGGTCCTAAAACGATTCGAAGAAAAAAAATGGTGGCGATTGATTTGTGAATCAATGAACACCAATTTTGAGCTCATGCAATAGATTATTACAGCATGAATAATTCACTTACGATAATCTCGGCTTATTTATCTATGGAAATTTCTTTCGAAATTCACGATGAGATACGCATTTTATATCTGCTTTCCTCCGCCAAAACATTGCGACTTATTACGCAACATGTTCGTGTTCAGCGATGACTCTTTTAAATGAAAAAAAAGTCATGTCTGAATGCCTTCACTGATATAGTTTGTGTGTAGTGCGAAACAGCAACAGCCACAACAACAACAACAACAACAACAACAGTGACAACAAAAGAAAACAGGAATCTGTAGTATATGCGTCTCCTTGCACTGCTATCTGCGCACTGTACCACATGCAGAGAGGTAGAGAAAACAAACATCTTCATTTTATGACTGAGGCATCAGAGGAAAACCACTGCTGTACACTTCACTTTAGGACATACGAGGGACTACAAGCGTGCCGCATTTACTGCTCCGCTCACCTCGTTGTAGCCGAGAGCGCCGGACGTCTGGGTGTAGTTGCCCGCCGGGCCGCCTTCCGAGGTGAATGCGCCGTAGCCGACGTTGGAGGTGTCGTTCAGCGTCCAGGTGCGACCCAGCGTGGTAATGGCCAGCACGATCTTCGATCTCGGCACACCTGTCTTGAGGTAGCTGTTGATACTGTACGACTGCAACAGCACGGCGGTCAATGATTGGATAGCTTGCTTTACAGTGCGAGTCTAATTACGTGCAAGTGTGAATTTTGGGTGAATCAGTAGTCGATCGCCATGCGACAGTTCGCAGAGAAGTTGACCATGTAGATATATTGCATCTATCGTCACCCACAATGTCACTACAAAAAGAGAGCCTTCGTACAATCATGCAGTCGGCGCCAAACGCTTTGATACACTGGGATATGAGAAAACGTCGAATTATGGAGCAGTCTGTGAACTTCTCATTCTGACTATCTGCAACAGATCTGAGAAGTTGTTTGGTGTTTATCGGAAGCCATGTACGTATACCGTTTGACGAAGGAATATTTGGCGGGCCACTGCATTTTTTTTCCCGCTTTTGTCACCAGCTTTGCGTCTTTTGCTTTTTCCTAGCCTTTGTCTCAGTGTTCAGGACCCAAGACTGTAGCCAGGATAACTGCCCCAACGATTAATACACACAGTCTGCTTAGAGAGCTTAAGATTGGTTGAAAATGGCTTCTTAGAAGACCTAGAGGGTGTTGGAGAGGATCGTTGAAGGTATCTTACCACGCTGGCGGTAGTGTAGTCACTTTCCGACAAGCCGTGCAAGGGAGCAACGGGACCAGTTCGGCCGGACCAGACGCCCCAGTAGTCAAAGGCGTTGACGGTCATGAAGTCCACGTTCCTGCCATAAGCAAAAAGGGACGAATGTCATCGTATCGGATCTCTGAAGTATACGAGTTCTGGAAAGCTGCAAACATAGCGCTTCCTGTTAAAAGGAAACTCCGCAAACCACCCTGAATACCCATATGTGCGTAAAGAAAAATGAGTGCTTAGAAAAATAAAAGCGCATGTTGTGTTGTAACATTGTTTTATTTTTTATTTATTTGCAATTTTTTCGCATTAAGTTTTTGCGTTCTATATCCTCTTCATCACTCATTATGCTCTCCAGCTCGTGATTTGTCTCCTATTTTTCCCTTAATAAAATATTTATATATGCCCGTTTTGCATCCATTGTGCACCGGGAGAAGTTCCCTGGAAGTTCGTCACCGTGATCATTACTCTGCATGCAAGACTGATGGTGAGAATAATAGCAGCGTACTATAAGTTGAGAAACTCAATTGTTTACATCTGGCTGGGATTCTGCGAGTTTTATAGATAGAGCGGCTTATCAAAAGCGCACATTAGTCAGTAATGAGCGATCCGTTGTTCAAGGGAATGGTTCAGAGCGCGACTGTCACATTGTTGGCAGCAGTGCTGGCTAAGGTTATGTCAATGCGTGGATATACGTCGAAAATTACCTTGGCCAGCACCTACGGGTCATATATACATTAAAACAGGGGTTTACTCTTGAATGTTGTGCATGCTCATTTTACCAGTGGACTGCAGTGTACACGTTGCTTATCATGACATAGAAATTGGTGCTCCAGGACAACCGCAGCATAGTCTCAACGCACGCATTTATTGAAAATGTTTTAGCGTATATAGCAGGATGAATTGAGTCTCTGGTGTGCATTCAGACGTTTTGGGCGGAACCTTTTTCTTGTTTTCTTTTTTAAAGACGATGGTCTTCCTTGGGGACCTTCTACGAAAAAACTTTGGTCTGTCTGTCTGTCTGTCTGTCTGTCTGTCTGTCTGTCTGTCTGTCTGTCTGTCTGTCTGTCTGTCTGTCTGTCCGCCCTATCGATACATCAAACGGCACCGAACGGCCAACCATATCTGCAGCGCCCACTAATACTGCTCAGGGTTTAGCGTTCATAGTTGTGCGATTGTCAATTAAAAAAGCAAATGTTGCGCATATCTGAGGCGCCACAACAACGCTTCGATGTTTTGTATGTCTGCCTTCATGCTAGAAAAGGCACACACAAGTAACTCTAAAGATTGTAGTGTTTATCGCGCTGCACTGACAGGGCAACGCGATGCTCAAGAAGGTGTTTCCAATGCTTTGCTACGACGACATGGTGGTGGCACCTGCCCGTCGCTTTGCATTCTACATCTTATCACCTCCGAGACTGGCACGCATCTTTCTCCGTGGTCGCGCGCGCCTTCGTTTTCGAAGATAACTTCCTTTGTTAGCTGGAGTCATAGTAGCAGGAAGTCATGGAGATAACTCCATGACTTCCTTGAATTGTATTATCACCTTGTTGTTCAACTGTTACTTTTTTTTAAAGTCATAACCTCTGTGTCTTATAGCAAAGAAATTGTGTAAAAAACGCTTTGCACCCTTGTTTCATTCTGTTATTTACTGTGTTTCATGTATGCTCACCCTGCTTGGACTTCGTGTCCGCAGTATTCTATAAATAAAATAAAATAAATAAAATAACTGCGAGATGGCGCTTGTGTCTAACGTGCCTAGATGCGCTTGTCCGCCTCCGCTACACGCTCGAGGCACTCTAACGCAGCGCCACGAGAATACCATTCACCAATTTTCTTGCGCAGAACATTAAAGTTTTGCTCACTCTCTCCAGACGCAAGACTATCGTCTTTCGACGACATTTACAGTGTAACATGTGGATTCGCACCATTTTTTTTTTCGCAGCAGAACTGCAAACGTCACATCTCCTTGATATTTTTTTTTATTCGTCCGCAACTAAAAAAAAAAGAAAAGACCGAAGGACCACATACGAGTGAGGCGTCATGAATCGCAGAAATTTGTGACGTCATCGTGACCTCACACGTTGAAGGCATTATTTGTCACCGTTTATAGGTCAAAGGTGGGCCGATCCCAGAGGCAATGCAACACCACGCGACGTGCAGAAAGCTCAATCGAATCTATTGCTGGTCCGAGCATAGTGAGAACGCCCGAGTATCATTGCACTTACACGAATAACGCCAACGATGGAATAGCAGTGTTGTATCCGTTACAAAAGAAAAGTATTGATTGATTGATATGAGAGGTTTAACGTTTTGAAACCATCATATGATTATGTGAGACGCCGTAGTGGAGGGCTCCGGAAGTTTCGACCACCTGGGGTTCTTTAACGTAGGCCCAAGCACCCAAATCTGAGTGCTTGGGCCAACAGCATTTTCACCTCCATTGAAAATGCAGCCGCCGCAGCCGGGATTCGATCCTGCGACCTGCGGGTCAGCGGCCGAATGCCTAGGCACTATACCACCATGGCGGGACGTTACCGAAAAAAAGTAACTAAATACGGTACTCGTTACACGAACAAAAAGCGAACGTGTTACCGCCCTACGGACGTTACCTACAAAAAAGGTAATGCGTTACCATTACCAAAAAAGTAACGCACGTTACCTTTGCTGTTACTACACAATCATAAAGTATAATCAGTGTCTTTGCGTCAGAGACCCACAGTCAAAATTTTTATATCTCGAATTTACATTTCAAATTAAACTTCTGACTTCAACATCGATTATATAGTATGCTCATTTAACATGCATTATCTCTACAAACGCACGAGACCTTAGCAATGTTCGAGTAGCCCAAGCCAGCTTGTTACATGTGATGACTTGCGACTCTGTGGCACACGGCAAAGCCATTTTTCTCAATGCCACGTTATACAAAATATCACATTCAGTCATCCACTAGCTACAAGGAAAGCATCATTGAACTCTCAAGAAATGTTCAGTACAGCACTACAGCGTTTTCGCCTCCATTGAAAATGTAGCCGCCGTAGCGGGGATTCAATCCCGCGACCTGCGGGTTAGCAGCTGAGTACCTTAGTACGAGACCACCACGGTGGGGCTGTGTATGAAGATTACTCGTTTACTGTAGCCTGTACCTTATCATAACCGCGAATTTTGCGAGCTTCTATGTGAGCGTGTTCATGAACCACCTCACTGGCTCAGGAGTTCAATAACCAAAACCGTAGCTGCTGTTGTGGAGAGTAAGAAACAAAACTTGTTTAAAAACAAAGTTCATAAATCTTCTCAATTTTGTAGCAACTATTTTGTAGCAAGTATAATACCATAACCCATATTTAGACGTTTTTCAATAATATTTTTCTTCGTTGTAGAAGTTTCAGACAATGTTGATGCACTCTTTTGTGTGTATATATTTTACACACAAGATATCTTCTTTGTAACGGTAATATTTGTGTGTTACATCATTATCAACTTTCGAGAACGACTGGTGATACAGTTAGGCCCTTCATGTTAAATACGTTCGATATTTTTTGCCTGATAAATTGTGCTGGTTTAAAGAAAACTGCGTTTGTTTTCTGGCTAGTGCTTGCTGTATGCATGAAATATTGATACAAAAATGCGGCTAAACTCCAAATACTCCATCAAATCGAAAATATAATTTTTTTGAATTTGTGTCGATCTCTCATCCATGGAACTACCCTTTTGCGACAGTAGCGTAGCCAGAAGGGGACAAAGAGGGCCAATGCACCCCCCCCCTGAATTTTTTTTCGCCATGGCGCACTTGTCTTCCCACTCCCCACTTGAGCTCAAAGTCCCCTCCTCCCTGCCCCCCTCCCACACACACACACACACACACACAAAACTTCTGCCTAAGGCTCTCCTTTGCGATACTAACAGTGGTTTATTTTCCGTGTAGCTACCTGTAACTGTTAGCCATAGTGTTCGTGTGACAGCAGTATTAAGGGGCTTTAGTTGAAACAGAGGGTAGCGATAAACCGAGCCAACCAACGTAGCGAGTAGAAAAATAAAAAAAGCTTTTTTTTCCTTCACAAGAAAAAATTCGGCGTTTTGCGCACCACTCGCATTCTTTGTAGAGGTTTTAGTCCTGTCATGGGGTCACGCCTATTGTTCACGATGTGCAGATTTCCGTTTGGGCAGGCTCCACTGGCAGTGCAACTGTAGACCGGTTAATTTACCGCCTGTTTCCTGGATGGACCAGTATTCCTAAAAAGCCGCTTATAAATTGGGCTCTAACTCTACAATGCCAAACTTGGCATTTGATGCGGCGGTCTTTCATCATGCTGTCCTCAGCGAGTGTACTCCTTTGTCACTCTAACTTGCAGACGTAGGTGTTATGTTGCTGCAGGCTCTCAAATAAATTCTTTGCTTTCCCCACGTATGAAGCGTGACAATCAGCACGTGATATGGAGTAAACCAGTCCATGCGCTTTCCCTTCGGGTAGCCTGCCTTTTGGGCATGGAAGGGTGCAGTGGCCAGCAATCCACCTGCCCCAATCCAATTCCATGAAAGCATGTTCCTTCAGTTTCTCGTGGTAGATCCCGCAGCTTTCTGCAAGCTTAGTGCGGCGATGGCCCGAAACTCTCTACATAAAGTTGGGGCGTTTCAGAAATTTCTATCCGCAATTCCTACAAGAAAACAAAGCGATTTCACCCTCACTCTCTTTGTCAAAACATGCAGGCGGACAGCTCTCCGACGCTGCAACAAAATAAATCAGCGGGGCGAGCTTTGAAAATGGCACCTACAAGATGAAAAGGTAACGAGTAAAGTGACACCACACGTTATCGAAAAATTGTAACGTAAGTACGTTACTCGTCACAGTTCTAAAATTGTAACGAGTACGTTGCTAAGTTACCGAAAAAAAAGTTATGCGGTATTGGTAAATGGTTTACTTGTAACGGGTTACCGCCAACATTGAAGAAGAGAGAGGAGTGAGCCCGACAGCAGATCACCCCCCCCTCTCTCTCTTTCACAGCGAGTCTAATTCTAGGACGATGTAATGACGCCGCACTTACTTTGCTATTTCAGGCAGGTTGTAACCGTTGGCGACAATTTCTCTAGCGACCGATAGATCGACTCCAAGTTGTAGCTTGGCCTTGTTGAATGCCGTCTTCATTTCCTGCACATTGACAAAGAACGGAAACAATGTTCGTTTATCACAAGAGTGAGCCATTTTTCTACCATCTAATTCAGTACTACAGCTTAAGAATGATGATCCTAAGAAATACAAATACACAGTCGCGGTCACTCATGCCGGCTTATGTGGTGCTTCGCAGAGTGGTCAGCGGCCATCTTGTTCAGGGCGAAATGACGGGGAAAGTCCTTTGAACTGTCTTATTGCCCTAAGCGCTCACAGCCATGTGTATAATTATACACAATGAGTGACATGCACTAAAATTAGCATGGCGTGACATGAATGTACGACGGATGTGACGTACGTTCACCTATGAGATTGTATTGTACGTAGAGGCAAATGTAATATAAACCGTAATGTATACGACTTACCAGTTTGAGCTTTTTAATAAGGTTAGTTATCGAGTTCAACGCACTCCATAAAATTGTGCACCTAATAGGACTTGCGGTTTTTGGTACATATACAATTAGCATTGAATTGAATTGGATTGAACTCCATGTAATAACAACGTATATTGTGATGAGCAACATAATGAAGGCCATTTCACCGTAGCTGCTGGTCTTTTTCATAGTCTACTTACGAATAGCACGCAGAGAACGTGGAGCTGATGAAGGCGTGCCGTGGATGAAGGCGTGCCGTGAAGGATGTGATAATAATAATATTATTATTATTATTTAATTGAGCTGTTCTGGCGTGAGGAAATTTTTCGAAACTTGCTGAGCTGAGTGACTGATGCTTCACTGATTAATCACATAAATGAAACACAACTGCGCAAGCATGAGTAACGTTTATCGATTTGAGACGCTACGCGAATTTTCTGGGGGCCTGCCTCGTCGATTCTCACGCTTGAGCTTTGACCATGAGGTTCGCTTGTCTTTGTTATTTTTCTTTTCTTTTCTGGCCAATTTGTTTATGCCATGACGAAATTAAGTCACACGTCATAATTTATTTAAAAGTAATTGGCAAGTTATTGAGCCTCTTTCTTGAAATTACTTACTTGAAGTGATTCTTTGCATCAATGCATTACCAGCCTACAAAACTAATTTGTTATATTACTCATAACCTGAAAAAGTAATTTAGTTGCAATAAGTTCATTAGTATGGCCAAAACTGACTTTGCCCAATTCGAGCACATAACGAAGCGATCACGTCATGTGATGTAGTAACATGGTCAAAAACATCACGGTTCCATGAACAAGTTCTAACGTCATTGATCAATGTCACGTGACATGCACGCCCAAATAGTGCGGACGGTGATATTATCGGCACGGCTTGGCTTCGCCGGACGCGCCAACCTGCTCCGCCTCTCTGTGTGTTCCTCGCTGCTTCTGCGTTTGGAGCACGTAAGTAGATTTAAGCTCCTCCTAAACTTTTCTTTTGTTGATTGATTTGTGGGGTTTAACGTCCCAAAACCACCATATGATTATGAGAGACGCCGTAGTGGAGGGCTCCGGAAATTTTGACCTCCTGGGGTTCTTTAACGTGCACCCAAATCTGAGTACACGGGCCTACAAGATTTCCGCCTCCATCGGAAATGCAGCCGCCACAGCCGGGATTTGATCCCGCGACCTGTGGGTCAGCAGCCGAGTACCTTAGCCACTAGACCACCGTGGCGGGGCTTCTTCTGTTCTTCCCTGCACGTACTGATGCTTTGACGGATGGCGACACACCCTAGTACGAAGTGTCAACGCTAGTCTACATACTTGCCGTCAGCATCGAGTGTTAGACACGGTTATTCTACAAAATTGGCATGTTTTGCGTGACAAAGCCGCGATATGATTACAAGATAAATCGTCATGGCGGAACTCAGGGTTAATTCTGGCCACCCCTTTGATGTGCAGCTAATGCCAAGTACTGGGGCGTCATAACATTTCACCCCTATGGCAATGCTATACCACCACGGCTGAGAGTGAATCCCAGGCCCTCGTAATTATTTCAGTGTAACATCACAGCCACTCAACCACCGCGGTGGACGACCGCTGTGTGTGTACCCTGAGCAAGAGGACGAAGTTGTCCTTGTCCTGAGGCCGGCCGCCCCCGCTGGCCGGGTAGTGCCAGGTGAGGACGAGACCGTCGACGCGGTGCTCGCGGCAGAAGGCGACGCCGCTGTCGGCAAACTCCTTGCGGTGCTTGTCTGACAGAGCCAGCTTGCTGAAGGGCACCGAGCCGAGACTCTGGCCGCCTACCGCCACAAGCAGCTTGAGGGCGCCGTTGCGCTTCTTCAAGTTGGCGAATCGTCGTAAATTGCCTGCGCGTGAAGAGAGTGGGTATAAAAGGGAGCACATGCAATGGCAGCCGAGGTCAAAGCGTTAGCAAAAACAGATCTGTTGTGTTTTTTGCACGGGCTACGCTGCAAATGATATAATATTCGCGAGAGAGAGAAAAAAAAGGCTCTAAATATTTGAAGCATGCAGTTCACTAATGTCGTGACGAACTCGTGTAACCCAAGCAGGGGTGCTATGAGAAAAAAAACTTGGTGAAGGGTAGACCGCATGACGTCGAGCAAAGTTTATTTCCGTGCTCTTTGTTAGCGAATGATGAAAGTTCCGTACAACAGAACTGAAACTCGTGCTAGTTAGACTCGATTCATGTAATAACTTAACCAGCGCGAGAAGTGACACGTATGACAAAAGCACGCACGGACAGAACTAACTTTCAAATGAATACATATAGTGTACAAGGCGGTAAGTGAACGCTCATATATAACAATCAAGAACAGTGAAATAAATATAACAACACACTTTCCTTTCTGTTTGATTTCGCCCTCTGCATGGCTCAGACGTCTAGAATTGCTCGCGAACTTTTTTGGGGCTGTGAAAGTGCTATTGCTCAAAAGCCGGATCATTTGTTATATCGTGCCTGGGTCTGCGAATGATTGCCTCTGTGGCAGCCAATGTCCTGTTTTTTTTTGTTAGTCTATGAACATGCTAAACGCATTTATCCACCCTGCCATCGTTTTGCAGGAATTAGCTATAGGCTCAACACGTTGTCCTCATACCCAACCGTCTCTGAATTTAGACGCTTATATACACTGTCGCGCAATGTGTCATCACGTGACATTGCCGCGGCCTCTCATATCTATCGGTGATATCGAGGAAAAAAAGTGCTAATCGGCCCTAATGTCTTCCGCTTGTAAGTCTTGGTGCACATGCGGTCCTGCGCTTAATGCAGCTCCCCTGCCGTGAGACCTGAGGAACAGCACATGCACGGGCAACCCGGCAATAGGTGGATCGCCAAATCGTGGCTCACGCGATAGATTGTGGGCTATGGCACCCGTACGCACCGACTTCCGGTTCGAGACGCCATACGTGATGCCGTGCGGGCATTGTTGCCAGTGCCGGCGTTTTTGCGTGTTCCACCTTGCACTCGCGGCGCTCTTTTCTTACAAATTGCTGTATAATACCTAGGAGTGCTATGCAGCATGGTGGAATAACAAATTCAATCCCTACGAAATAGTCATAATGGTGCGAGCGGTCATTTTTTCATTGAAGCGGCTTGCGCTTCCGGACACATGCTTGTTGTTTTGCAGCAAATGTTATTATCGCGCATGTTTTGTCAGCATACATTTTCTGCACGCTATAGGATCACGAAATATCCGTTCATTTGTTGTCGTGTTGCTCATCATCATCGTCAACTGCAGGACAAAGGCCTCTCCCATGTTCCGCCAGTCAACTCGGTTCTTTGCTTGCTGTTGCCAATTTATATCCGCAAACTTCTTAATCTCAACTGCCCACCTAACCTGCTGTCTCCCCCTAACCCGCTTGCCTTCCCTGGGAATCCAGTTAGTTGCTGACGTACCCGTAAAATCATTCAATTACTTTTTGGTTGCAAAGATACCACTGTTCGGGGCTTGATATAGCAAATGGCCGTATAGTATAATGTGTTTCGTGCGCTATAAATGAAACGTGCTCGTAGTTCTGTGGCTTTCTTTAAGCCTCTAATTATCATTTTAAATGAGTTATCGTCCCTCGCATGCTCGAACAATGTTCTTCAATGCATAGAAAATCACCCGCACCCAGTGTACAGTTGTGCCAGGTAGCCTTTAAGGCTATGAGTTGGAGTATAGCACGACCTATCGGTACTATAGTAAACACGCTTGCAAGTCTGACATAACGGACGCCGTACCATGCTACTCCTTGCTTCAAAAGCAAATTCGATGGTTTTACGCCCCACGATACCATTATTTGAGTGGCCGTTTTGTTCTGTGGGCTTTTTATGCACTGACCTGTTTCAATCAATTTGACAGACTGCGATGCAGATTATTCAATAAAAATATACTATATCAGCATACGGCATCGTGCAAAGTACTCGTACATGTTGAGACTTCGTACGTATATTGACATATGACAGCATGTGAACATATGTGTGAGTGATCTTGAAGTTGTCTCGGTAAGTATATGCGCTCGAAAATAATAAATCGAGCTGATTGTGTAAAATATTACTGCGCGTTTCAAAGAATAACCACCACACGCTGTGCTCGAACCTGATCTCTCAACCTTCCTCGTTTTTTGCCCATGTCCACGTCTTGCTTCGTTCTCTAAAATGCGTGAAATATCATCCATCTATTCACACACACACACGCACACGCACACGCACACACGCACACACGCACACACACACGAGACAGACAGACACGAGACAGACAGACACGAGACAGACAGACACGAGACAGACAGACACGAGACAGACAGACACGAGACAGACAGACACGAGACAGACAGACACGAGACAGACAGACACGAGACAGACAGACAGACACACACACACACACACACACACACACGAGACAGACAGACAGACAGACAGACAGACAGACAGACACACACACACACACACACGAGACAGACAGACAGACACACACACACAAACACGAGACAGACAGACAGACACACAGACAGACACACACACAGAGAGAGAGAGAGACAGACAGACAGACACACACACACACACACACAGAGAGAGAGACAGACAGACAGACACACACACACACACACAGAGACAGACAGACAGACAGACAGACACACACACACACACACACACACACACACACACACACACACACACACACACACACACACACACACACACACACACACACACACACACACACACACACAAATTGAAGAACGCAGTCATTGAGCAAGCGGTAGCAAAAAAAAAAATTTCAAAAATTTCACGTGTTTCCTCCCTGATTTCTCCGCGCTGCAGGCACCTTCAAGGAGCAAAGGCATGGGCCTCGAACCGGAAGTACCATAGCAGACCACACGCCGTTTTGCTATCCACTCTCGGCAATCGTGTGTTTGCCGAGGCGGTGGCGCCCTCTTTTGCGCGGCACGTGTACGATTCGAGTGTTTTAGACACATTGTTCACAATTTTAGGTAAGTTATTGCTGCTAATTATTAGTTACTTTTGTAGTTAATAATACTCTAGACCTTATTAGCAGATTTTCCACTAGTTTTGAGCACTGTTAGGCTTATTTTAGTTTAGCATTAACCACCGCGTGACCACGCGACAGTGGGTGGACGACAAGCTGAAGGGTGCCACGCATTTAGACAGCACGCTCACCGTTTCCTCCGCTGTCGGAGTAGTCGTTCCATGGATCCGACGAGACGACTTCGGCGCCACGTATGCCGACCGTGTTGTAGACGAGGTGCGTGCATGGCCGTGTGTCGAGCTTCTGTACGAGACTCTTACCTTTGCCCTTCCGATAGTAAGACCAGCTGTTCCAATAGCACACCACTCTGCGGTCGTTGTTCTCCGCTGTTGGAGCCGTAGGCGAACTCGTCGTTATCGTCGCTGCGAACAGAGACGTTTCTGCTATATGCTGCAGCATGAAATATCGCTAAACGTGTACTTGCTAACAGGAGAATATTAAGGTGCTCTGCACGCTTGCATATGCAGGCTGTCCCAGCTAACGGGCTCCGAGGTATCATATAGAAATGATGATTCAAAACAATATATACTGCAGAAACAAATTGCGCCAACTGGACGACTTTTCCCCGTGTTATTGACTGCATAATTAGTAGGAATCGTCCATTGAATGTATTTATAACTAATTGAAAAAAAAAACCAAATGTCAACTTGCACGTCGCATACAATTTTTCTACGTTTTCAGTAGTGCCTTAGCCCTCATTTGAAAATTTCGCGGCAAAACGTGGGGAAGAATTAAGTCTGAGAGGTCCCGCACGCGTCGCTCTAGAAAGAGGTAGGGAGAGAAAGAGAGAAATGGCTTTATTTACAGAAAGGCAGAGAAGTCGGCCTGAGCGATAGCTTGCTCTAGCCTGCTACTCTACATGGAGGGAGGGGAAAGGGGAGAAGAAAAACTAATGGATGACGATAGTGAGATAGAGAGCAGAGTATATAGAATTCTTTCTAGCTGAGAAAAATTTTATAGCCGCGGTCGTAGTCCAGTTGCTTCCAAAAAGGCTATAACTACCCTTATGACCCGAGTTGCTCTAGATTTCGATTGACTAGCATTACAGCAACAAAGGTGTGAAAGCGGTATCTAGACATTCCAATTTGTTGCAACTGACGCGCAAATGGTAGACAACGGGCTGTCGCTTCTTTTGTGCGCTGTCTACTTTTTGCATTTCAGTAGTAACAATGTTACATGCTGGCACTGCAGAAATTACACGGCAGCCGTATAAGAGCTACAATTATTAGAAAAAAATGCCTTTGTCTGCTTCAGTCATGCTCTTAATCACCTCCCGATGCCTGCTGCTATACCACAGTTGCGTACATATCGCAGGGGCTACAACCCCTACCTCAAATATTCGCGGCCCCCAAAGTAAAATAAATAAATATTTCTTCAGCTTTACGCATGGAAGCCACGATATGTATCAGAACTATCTGAACAATGATGTGAACCAGAAAGTATTTACAATAATTTGGTTAGTCACACACCAAAATACAAGTGGGATCTTGATGATATTATAATGGTGGACTATCGATATATGTGACGGCTTGAATGCTTTATGTTACCGCTTGAATTTCGCATTACGCTGTACTTTATCATATTTAATTCCGTGCACTAAGTAACAAATGATGTACAGTGCTCAGATCTGTTTCAGAAATTGCACGTTAATTCGTAATCATCTAAAGGACTGCGACACATCACGCAAGCATTCAAAATCGTGTGAACGTTTTTGGTGTTTGAGCTATCAACACTGAATTAACTTAAAGCTTGTATACCTGGGTACAGTTGCTAAAAACAGTAATTTGTGATTAAATAATTAGTTTTTTATTTGATGCTCAAGATTCACGCGGAAACGGTGTACGCGCGAAACTACAAAGCAATTACGTTTTGAACAAATTGAATTTGACGAGGAACTATATATGTATTCAAAAATTTTAGAATAGTGGCCTGAAAGAAATAGTGTCGAATTCATCTCACATCGCAGAGACGGGAAACGCATTCATTTGTTCGCATCAGGCACGCGCCATTTCTAGACTATAGAGCAGAGCCTCAAAACTTTATCTGAAGCTTTGCTTCAACGAACTTGGTAGCAACCACGGCTTCTAGCCGTACGACCCATATGTAGGACCAAACTGGCTTGATTTAATTGAATACGTTATGAATGAATTATTGGTCGTGTAGGCTACTGCTTTCTCCTATATCAAGTGTGCAAGGGGAGACTGGCCGAAAAATAGCCAATGTTTTTAAGGTTTCTTTGCAGTTAAAACTTGATCTAACGAAATTCTATTTTACAAATTTCAGCAATATTGCCCCGGGGTCGTGACGTGGACCAAGGGATCAAACTACAAGTCTAAATTGAAACTCTTTATTTGGCCGAACTTGTGGCCGGTGAACGGAAAGTCAGATTACAACGATACAGTCTGGCACTGATAGCGGAGAAATGAGCGGCGGCCGTCGATTAACTGACAGGCGGTGATTCGCGTCGGCATTTATACATGTGGCATCGAATGTTCTAGAATTATCGCTAGAGGTCAAGTATGTTCCAGAACAATCTGTAAAGTTCGCGTTGTGAGCGTAATCGCATCGGAAGGTTCTATGATCATCTCGATGGTTCTCAGTCAATCGGGGCGGTTTGCGCAAGGCAGCACTCCCACGTGTAATGGAGCTATAAGAAAACTTCACAAAGAAGTGTGGCAAGATAATAAAGGGAACCTTCCATTTGTCGGTAAGTGCTCTTAAAAGTTCAATGTTGCATTCAACTCAAATTAACGGAGGTATCATGACACTACACCAGATAAAAAGTTTTTTTCCGGAAATAAATAAGAAATGAAGTGATTTCTTTCTAAGTTATGGACGGGAGGATTTTACTTCGAGCGTTACCTTCCACGGTAGTCTGGCTAATCCCCGTATTCTAGAACGTTCCTTCAATCAACGCTTCCCCTTGACTTGAGAGAGCAGATGGGAGTGCCGTTTCTAGGCAGAGTTAGTCACTGCATATATCATCGATAATCTGCAGCGGTTCTTGAGAAGCGTAGGGATCATTTTCAGTCTGGCAGCAGCGCAGTTATAATGCTGTCAAATGAAGGACGAAATTCGAGTCGAGGAGTATTTGTGAATACGGGGCTAAGGCACAGGGCTGCTTGCCTGCAGGTCGCGGCATTGAATCCAGGCCGCGGCGGCCGCATTTTTGATGGAGGCGAAAATGCTTGAGGCCTGTACGTGCGCTTAGGTTTAGGTGCACCACATAAGCACACATATCAATCAATCAAGTTATACGGACGCCAAAAAGTTGCATTATAGATCACTGTGTTTAGAGTGTAGTTAAAAGTAGCAGTGTTTCACAGCTATTCTTAACTTCACAAGACACGCGTTCACGGGATGACACGATGCGTTGTGGTGGAGCAGTTCAGATTGCAATTGCAATCTGAACTGCTCCACCACAACCGCCATTAATGGCCACCGATGGAGGACGTCGCACCAAGTCAGGTTGTTATGCCCAAATGTCAGGTTGCTTATGCACAAGCTCTCGCCCAAATGCTCGTGAGTGGCTCGGGTCTTGTCGATGCTGTTCTTGTCACCAGAACAATTAATGTGTCGAGCTCTAGATCACATCTACACGAAAATGTATTAGCGAGACTGGTACAAGAAGCGCCGTGACATGCGCCCCGCTCAAAATCGGCTGTGAGTGTGTAATTTGATCGTGTGCGCTCGTAGTAACTTTTGACAGCATGTTACAGTTGCAAAGACGCAATAGGCTTCGAAGGCACGCTTACGTGCGAGAACTAGTATACTGTATCTGCGATAATATTCAAGCACATATCTTGAACGAGTAGTCCAGGAAGGTTGATTGATTAATTGGTTGATTGATTGATATGTGGGGTTTAACGCAGTCCAGGCAGAAAGACCCTGAAAGACTGAAATTTTACAGCGAAAGCTGTTATGAGATCAGAACTCGGGTCACGCGCAGCTGTCCGCCGCCGCCGGTGTCCATAACAACATCGCGCGAAATTCGAAAAAAAAAAAAAAAACTTGCACCAATGCCATAGTGGGGCTCGCTGGGTGTCAGCCCAGTACTCTACCACTGAGCTACGCCGGTGCTTGTGACTTGTTGGCAAATGTGCCTTAGGCAGGCTTGATGTCGGGAAAGTAATCGCGTTAATACGACGTATAAAAGCGTTTTAAAACAGCGAAAGAACATCCAGTCGTCGCACAATGCGAATTGCGTCACGACTGGGCCGTCCAATGCTCGAACCCCTGCAGTACAAAAGCTTGTTCTTGTTCCCCTATTAACTGTGGCGCATGCCTACTTCAGCCGTAATTTTTCATCGTAGTCAGCCACTGCATTAACAATTGGTACAAAATTCCTTGTAAGTGTTTAGCGGAAAGCACGCTTCTCAGAAGAATGACGAAAAATTGCATAGCGAATGCCGGCCTACTACCCCCCAAAATTTATTATTAATGCCCCTAGTGGGTATCAAGCAGGAGTGCTTGCAGTAGCTACCCAATGAGTGTTTAGAAAATTCTCTGAAAGGCCGCTTTTGTAGCTTTCGCTGTGACCGTGCTGCGCCTTCATGGAGGACCGACGTTTTTTTATCCCCGTGATCGCCCGAAGAGGTCTGTGAGTCGTCGACAACCGTCCACTATACTTGCCCTATAAATACCAAGCCAAGTGAAAGCTCAGAGTATTTTTGTTACCAGCAGCTGTAAGCTATTAATTGGTGGTATCGTATATTATGCCTGTGCGCGAAGAGGTGTATACTGGGAACTTTTCGAAAACCTTTCCACAGCTGAGGCTTGTGCGGACTTAGAGGGCCAGCGACAGTGGCACGTTCATATAGGTCCACCTTTTGAAGTGCTTTATTCTCGAATCCGTACACAGAAAGATACACAAGTTCACCGAACTTTATTGATAGCTACATGCTATGAAGATACAAAATTCCATAGTTTGCAGTTACGGTGGCAGCTGTCTTTCCAAGTAGCACGTCTCCTCTCCCTAGCTTGCACATCTGATCGATTGTACTCTTGCGTTGGTGATGTGACTACAGCGAATTGCGAGAGTGCTTCGCAGAGAACGCGAATGGAGGGAGAGGCGAACGAAGGCTATGCGTGACCAGTCTGACAGGAAGGAGAGCGAGCGTTTGTTGCGGCCAAGGCGGAACAGCTGTCTGCAAACTGGACGAGCGTTCTACTTTACATCTTCGAAGAGTCTTTTAGAAACAATGTGGATGTACGTACGTCTGCATCCTCGTGGCGCCTAAGTGCTCCGCGGAAGGAAAAATAAAACGAATGTGTCAGACCTAATCGGTGTGGTTAGCCAATGTCCAAGTAGAGCACTTGAGCCGTGGCCGCTGCATCTGCTGCTTTGCTTTTCAGTCACGTCAGCGGCAGTCGTTTTCTACGCGCTCGCTTCAGGCTGACCTGAACTGTGCATGCATGCGAAGATATTCTTTCCTGGCGCTACTATTGCGAGCAACGTCGCCCACTCACCAGAGTGTGTTCCGACGACTAGCAGGGTCAGGAACAGGCTCAAGGAGGCGACCCACTTCATCCTTGCCTGCGGAGAGCGTTTAGTCCAAGAGGAGGGCCTTCCAGGCAGTAACTCGGTAACTGCGCCGGCGGCGTGCTCTCACCCCTCTCTCTGTCCGGGCTGGCTGCTATGGTCGAGCGAGACCTGAGAGAAAGCGAGCGATACCGACGCTGCCGCCTTTTGCCTGCCGAACGTACTACATCGTCGGGGGGCCGCTCGTAATGAACTTTATAAGGCGAGCTCTTGCGAACCGGATTTTTCGCACTGGAGCAGTGAAGCGTGCGGGAAGGGCGCGTGTCTGCGCACGACTTGTGGTCGACGAGTGCGTACTGTGTTCGCCGGTTGTTGCCCTGCGGGCGCAGCGCCCGGTTGGCCTTGGGTCGTGTTGTTCAACCTCTCTTCAACCGGTCGTTGCTTCCCGAACATTATGTATACCGTGGACGGCGCTAACTTTCGGATTGTAGCGTCATCCTTCGAGTAAACAAACTGACTCACCATGACGCCATTTGCACGGCACTCGTTGCTCTAGGGAGCATCAGCGCCAGAGGCTGGCTGCTGTGCCTCTTTTGCTCAACCGAGGTCTTGGCTTGAATCCATGGCTCGGCATCCGCCGCTTCTTGTCGGTGATGGGCAGGTGGTCACGCAGCACCGCTATAATACGCACTGCTTTCGAGATGTTTTCCAGCTACTCGCTTCGGTAATTCACTTGCTTCCATCCTTCAGCCTGGAACTTCAAACTTCTTTTAATATGGAAGAGTGTTTCTGACAACTTTACCATGGGGATACTTGCCCCGCCATGGTGGTCTATTGGCTTAATTAAATAGTGGTTTTGGGACGTTAAACCCCACAAATCAATCAAGTGGCTAAGGTGCTCGGCTGTTGACCCGCAAGTCGCGGGATAGAATCCCTGCTGCGCTGGCTGCGATTTGGATGGAGGCAAATACGCTGTAGGCCCTTGTGCTCAGATTTCATTGCACGTTAAAGAACCCCCAGTGGTCGAAATTTCCGGAGCTCTCCACTACAGCGTCTCTCGATCATAATCTTATGATAATTTTGGGGTGTTAAACTCAACATGTCAATCAATAAATAAATCAATCTAATCAATCATGGGAATACGTCGACTGCTATCACAGCAGCCGTAGCAAAATGTTTTGCTGATGCAGGCTTCCTCTGGTTTCAGCCGATGGAGAGTGCTCTGCACAGATTAAACCTCGGTTTTAGTGCGTTAGGAGGCGATCTAAGGCACAATATCTAACGTTAATGTCCGTGATGCGGACTTCACTATATTGTGCTGAATCCGCAGTTCTTTCTCATATGACTGAAAAGAAAGCCTTAAGATGGAGCCAACTACTATTTACGCAAAGAAGGTAAAATCGCGCTTGCTGTTTACACTTATACAAACATGATAGTGCAAGGTGTGACGCATTACAATATTACTGTTGCGGTTTCACGTTCCAGCATTATGGTATGGTTATTAGACGCACGACGAAACAACAAAAGAGGGAAATAGGGACACACAGAGCTCTGTACACTGCTGTTCAAGTTTGTTGAAAACGCACGAATGGATGGATGGGCAGACACAGAAAAACGGACGGACAGGCAGACACAGACAGACAGACACAGGCAGATGGACGGACAGACAGACAAATGCACAGACGGGCAGACACAGACGGACTAAAACATTATAATGTGGTGCAAGAGTGGAGCCGTGAATGAAACGAATTTCTTCCCCGAGATTTCTATATGGAAATAAGTTGAAATTTCTTAATGATAGGTCACTGTAAAAAAAAAAAAAGCTAAGTCGCTAAGTAACCCCTCGGCGACCAAGCCCCAAGACTTGTAGTGTTATCGTGTATACGTGATTTTCTCGCAGCCTGAAAAAATTCAGAAGAGTATTCCGACGTCAGGATATTATTTTCGGCCAATTGTACTGATTTCCAGGTGCACTGATTCTTAATTTTTGTTGTATGTTGAGTGTCATATTGTTCGATTCGCCGTAGTACCACACCATGTAATACCTTCTGAGCCTTTAGGGTACATATATATGGAAAAATGGACAAAATTAAGGCATATGCTTAGCTGTTAATAAATGGGTTTAGGTGCACACCTCATGGACGTGTTGTCAAATGAAACACATTAAGAAGTGTGTTGCCTATAATTTAGGCGTGACGTGCACGCGACGTTCTGTTAGCATACAGAAGCCATTATACCAGTCAAATAGGACGGCGTGTAAATGAGTGCATGTGTGAATTTATACATCCATTTGTTCCGATGTTTCCCCTTGTTCCTACTTGGTCCGGCACTGATGTACACGTGCTTTCAAGCTAATATTTGACAATGCTCCCGCGGCTTTATCGATATCATGACTGAAATGGCCACAGTGGCTTTATTGACCCAGCAAAGTGGCCGTGGAAACGGCTGCCGCCGTAGCCCAATAGGTGACCAGTAAAAGAGTGAGGGATTGTGGGATACGCCGTCTGCTGTCGGCTTCCGGTTCGAGAAGAGTAGACGATGGCGAATCGCTTCACCGCAAGCCTCAGACTATTCGGGATTCGCGCGCTCGCTCGCCCGTTTATCTTCCTCCTAATACACTATGTTCGGTTGTTTAGCCGTTGGCTGCTCCAACTCGAGCGGGAAAGGCAAACGCAGGTATCGATTTCCATGGAATGAAGAAAGATACATTAGGTGAGCCACCGCTGGGAAGAGAGCCACAGCGACAGGTAGCCTTTGAGTACCCAACGTTGAAGCGTGCGAACGTTGACTGTGCGAAGAGCATTTTCTCAGAGGTACGCGTGTATTCCGCACTAATGAAAAGCCTGCGCTTGAATTTGCTGTGAAATTTATATCGAGAAATAACTTGTCGCGCAGGTGCGCCTAGCAAATATATTATCGGAACGCGCGGGCGAAATCTACCTGCCATACGAGATGACCGCCGGCCATTGCCGATTCCTGACAAAAAACGCGAAAGCTTCACTCAACAGTAAGTTTACACAAAGCACTGGACGAGTCTATTTGCGTATATCTTGGTCAAACAATGCGCCAGGACGGCACGCAAAGGAAGAAGTGCGTTAAACTAGCGCCGCATTTTGATTATTCGGCGCCGTCTATGTCTGATTGTATTGTTTACGTGCCACCGTACCACGCAACTTTACCAAAGTGAGCGTTAAAATTAGCATCTGGCTTCGACTAAGAAATGAATCTTTTAGCGCGCTGAAGGCTAGGAAAAAAAAGATATCTCAACGTGCTCAATAAGTGCTGCGCATCATGCCAATCGACCGACGATGAAGCAGCGATCCCAAAATGAATTCTTAGCACACTTCTACAGTATACAAAGAATTTAAACCCTGGGATTTCTAAAATGGTGATTTTTTATCTGAAATAACGTATCATACAATGAAAACTGGCTTCTGTATCGACTGATCAGCTGGCCAAACTGACAATACCCTCGAGCAGCATAAAAGCATTACAGATCATTTTAGTGCGATAAAGAAGTTTTCTTATGGTTAAGTAAATTCGTAGCTTGTCATCATCGCAGTAATGGTTAGCACAAAAAACAACAACTTCTAAAGCACTGAAATTGCACAGAGAGGTGCATTTTTCAATGGAGCGGTACTGAAATGCACGCGGGCCGCGGCTAAACCACGTGGCGTGTCGAACCGGAAACCGTCGCATCCCACAGTTCCCTGCGATTGTCCATATTACCGGTCACCTATTGCTGTGCACCGCACGCATATGCGAACATTGTGGGTTTGGTTCCTACCGGTGACAAGTTGTTTTTCGTCCAATTTTAATATTTTAACATACTTCAGTTGAACAAATTCACTTCAATTGAAAGCTGCAAATAACGCCCGCTATGCTATCATTACTTGGGATGTAAAAACAGCGCAAAATATATAGACAAGGACAGAGGAAGAGACGACACCGCGCTAAACTCGCAACTAAACTTTACTGGAAGACACACACACATATATTATGCAGTCGACACAGTCACGTGGCAAACCAAAGGCGTCTGCGCAGCACAGCAAACAAAGTGCGAAACATGCCTAATCGAAGTGAACCCTTACACGTGTGTAACACACCTTCATACTTGTCAAAAACATACGCAAGAGCCCATAACATACTAATAATCATTTTGACATGGCAGCGCTGAACTCAAGTACCGAACCTCCTTTTCACCAAGGGCCACAGACGGCTTACATACACACCTTTCCCCTTACTTTTCAATGAAGAAAGCCTCCATCACTTCCCTAGTGCACTTGTCTCGATGTCCAAACAAACAAGTGACTTTATCTGCCAATGGTTGGCAGCCACACTCCCTACAATGAGCTGGCCAGTGCATCCCGCCAGCAGCCGTTAAGAGCTTAGTGTTCTATTGGAGACTAAGTGTTCCCTTAGTCTCACGGAACATTTCCCGGTATGTGGCTGAAGGCGAGCAAATAAGGTGCGTGTCTGATTGTATAGATGTGTGCACTCACACGTCGTTGGCTAGGTGAAGGCTCTCCCCTGTCAAGTTGGTCGTAGAACTTTCGGAGGTGAATGGGCTTAAGGTTTAATTCTTTGTTGGATAAGGAAGGAATGTTTGTGGTCTTTAAAGAGGGCGTTTTGAATAAAAAGTCTGCGACAGCCGTATAGAAGAATTTCAAAAGAGTGGACGTTAAAACGGGGAAGGTGAAACAGCAGGCTATTGCTATGCTGCAAGATAGGAATCTGTCCGGTCTAGTCAGTAGAGTAAAAAAGCAAAAGAATTAAACTTGCAAGTTTTTGCTCTCAGGGAAAACCCATAAACTTAATTTTCCGTTCAAAGCCATTATATCAGAAAAAGGAACTTGGCTGTCTGAGATGTCGACTCACTCGCAGATGTGGCTGGAAGCCCCCAATTTAGTCTACCCTTTGTAGTAAAGAACTCTGAAGGTGTAGTAGATTTTCTCAAAACTATATATAACAACCCGGGTTCTTGTTCGGCTTTCAGCATTGACACTGAGGATATGTTTTACTCCTTACCGCATGCTGAACTTCTGCAGAGTGTTAAACCCTGTGTGGTTAAGTACAATAGTGAAGTTAAGTTTGGTAACAGTTGTGGCGTTTACTTGGAAAGCTTTCTGGAATTGCTGACGTTTTACTTGCGGTCAATGTGGGTGGAGTGAAAAGAGGTCTTTTATGTCCAGAAATCTGGTGTTTGCATCGGATCTAG